GTGAATGATACACCGTCGCAACAACACGTTGGGCTGCCGAGGGAGAGGAAAACAAACCCGGCGCGCGTGCGCGCCTGGTCTGCTAGTCTGGAGGATAACACGGAGTACAGTCTGTTGCGGGCATTAAGAAAACAGGATCCCGCGGCACGCCGCCGCGCAGACTTGCTTGGGCAAAATGTGACCCGAGCCGCCGGGTGCCCGCAGCGGCCTCGCTGGACCAGAAGAACCGGTCCGCGAGTGCTCCGCAGCAGCCTCGCTGAGCCAGAACGTCGGCTCGCGAGGTGGGGTGCTAGTATGAGCCCGACCCAGGTCGTAGTGTTCTTGCTCCCAGCGCTTGCGCTTCGGCGGTTAGTGGTGCACTAACCTCCGAGAAACCCTTCGGGTCGCTCCTCATCGCAAACCCTGTCAGCAGAGTCTCCTACGGGAATGTACGTAAGAGCTACATACACTGAAAATGACAAGTGCGCGCGCCGCAGGCGAAGAGAAAATTTGAGCGGGGCTCCTGTTCGCCACACTCGTGTGTGGGCCCTTTCTCGGGGCCGCGCCTGCGGGGCGCCGCGGTTTCTTAGATTTTCGCGGAAATCGCTCGGCGTGGTTTCTCGATGTATGTGGCTCTTACGTACATTCCCGGAGGAGGACTGCTGACAGGGTTTGCGATGAGGAGTGACCCGAAGGGTTTCTCGGGGTTAGTGCACCACTAACCGCCTCTGCAAGAGCACTACGCCTCAGCGGGCTCATACTAGCACCCACCTCGCGAGCCGACGTTCTGGCTCAACGAGGCTGCTGCTGGCACTCGGGGCCGACTTTCTGGCCCAGCGAGGCCGCTGCGGGGCACACGGCGGCACGGGTCACTCCTCAACACAAACCCCGTCGAAGCAGGAAGTGAGGTCAGGTGTGTGTGTAAAGGCGGCGCGGCACTGCAAGGGGCAGCGGTAAGGCGGCGCGGCGGCAACAGACGGCAGGCAGGGCATCGGACGGCGGGACAAACGGCACGGGGCGTGGCACTGTAGGAGCGGCGGTACGGCGGCACGGCGGTAACGGACGGCAGGGGGGGCGGCGGGCTAAACGGCAAGGGCGGCGCGGCACGGAGGAAGGAGCGGCACGGCAGGGAGGAGCAAGGACGGCGCGGTAACGGCAGGATCACGGATAGGCGTGGCACGGATAGGAGCGAGCGAGCGGCTAGGTGGCGGGAGGGCGAGGCGAGGGTGGCGGCGGGTGGATCACGAGGAGGTAGAAGGTCTGGCGCGAGCGGGTGAGCGAACGGCGAGCGAGCGGCTAGGCGGCGGGGGTGAGGGTGGCGGCGGGCGGATCACGAGGAGGTAGAAGATCTGGCGCGAGCGGGCGAGCGAACGGCGAGCGAGCGGCTAGGCGGCGGGAGGGTGAGGCGAGGGTGGCGGCGGGCGGATCACGAAGAGGTAGAAGGTCTGACGCGAGCGGGCGAGCGAGCGGCGAGCGGGCGGCTAGGTGGCGGGAGGGTGAGGCGAGGGTGGCGGCGGGTTGATCACGAGGAAGTAGAAGGTCGAGCGCGAACGTGCGAGCGAGCGGCAGACGAGCGGCTAGGCGGCGGGAGGGCGAGGCGAGGGTGGCGGCGGTGGATCACGAGGAAGTAGGAGGTCGAGCACGAGCGAGCGAGCGAGCGGCGAGATGGGTCACGAGGAAGTAGAAAGTCGGCAGAGGGCGAGCGAACGGCGAGCGAGAGAGGCGAGGCGGCGGGAGGGTGAGGCGAGGGTGGTGGCGGATCGGATCACGAGGAAGTAGAAAGTCGGGAGCGGGCGAGCGAACGGCGGGCGAGAGCGGCGAGGCGGCGGGAGGGTGAGGCGAGGGTGGTGGCGGTTCGGATCACGAGGAAGTAGAAAGTCGGGCGGGCGAGCAAGCGGCGAGCGAGCAGCGAGGCGGCGGGAGAGGCGAGGGTGGATCACGAGGAAGGAGAGATTCGGGCGATCACGAGGAAGTAGAAAGCCAGGCGAGCGGGCGAGCGAGCGAGCGAGCGAGCGAGCGGCGAGGCGGCGGGAGGGTGAGGCGAGGGTGGTGGCAGGAGGAGGGGGCGAGGGCGAGGGCGGGCGGGCGACAGGCGAGACGACAGGGCGGCGGCCAAGCTGGCGTGGTGGTCGGCGAGAGGCGGCGAGGGCGGGAAGGCGACAGGCGAGACGACAGGGCGGCAGGCAAGCTGGCGTGGCGGTCGGCGGGAGGCGGC